GCATCCTACCCACCACTGACAGACGTGGCCGTAGGCTCGTGATGCTCCACCAAGGTCGTGATGATGCCCCAGTCTCCATCCTCGAAGGAGCTCGCGTCGCCTCCCATCTCTGTGGGCTCCTCCGACTCAAGCTCCGCCTCCACATCACTCCGGCACTCGCTCGCCCGGACCCACCAGGCGATCTCCTTCTCCTTCTCGTCCCTTCTTTAGGCCTTCTCAGCTCTCTTCTTTTTGGCAACCGCTGCCTCCTTCAGAGTAGCTTGCCAAGTTATGCCCTCTGCCCCCCTCGAAAGATGCGGCCAGGATCTATAACCCGCAAGTCCCTACGAAATGGACGACTCGAAGTCAAAATAATGGAGAACAAGAGGGAAAAGGTCACGGAATAGGAAGAGGGGACCATACTATATTGGACAGCTTCGCGGCACGAAGAGGTCCGAGCTTTCCTTCAAGGGACTCCTTATCCCTTAGTTGTAGCACCTAGTCGAGTCGACTCCATACTTCATCCTTTGGCAACTCCTTTGGAGATGCATGATCGGGATCTATGGGGCCTGAATATGCCCATATCGACCGCCTCCTCTCCGCCAGCGGGGTGACTCGATGGCGAAAGAAGGTGGAACACCCGTAGCCCATTGAGGCCATGCTGCACTAGCTTCTGAAGCTTCGCCTCGATGACCTCCAGCTTGTTCTGCCAACTAGAGGGACCCCACGACCAGCTCTCCCGCCTCTCTGGCCTTCTTCCGGTGAACGGCGGGAATGGCGCCTCTGCTGGGTTCCTAATGTAGAACCACTCACCATGCCACCCCCGATTGGAGTCACAGGGGGAGTACGCGGGGTAGGAGCCCAACGACCTCATCTTTTTCCTACAAGGCGAAGTCCCCAACCGGTGCGGTTCTAGGTGGCTTCCCCTCCGACAAGGCTAGCCCGGTGAAGATCCACCAGAACAGGTCCACGTGTGGCTCCATCCTGAGGAAGGCCTCATAGACGGTGACGACACCGGCAATGTGCAGCACCCCAGTCGAATTGAGGTGCTGCAGCTCCAGGCCCCACTCATTGAGGAGCCCACACAGGAACCAGTGCGTGGGATATCCAAGCCTGCACTCATGGAAGGCAAGGAGGGAGACAACCTCGTCGACCTGTGGTCACAGAACAGCTTCCCCTAGCGCAGGAGCCCTCCAATGAGCCACCTCCTTTGGCATAGTAGCCCCTTCTCGGTGAAGGCGGCCAACACCGCCTCGTCTACGTTGGATGGCCTCTAGTTCAACATCGCGCTCTGGATTCACGAACGAATCTGTGAGTTCTCCTCTCCCTCGCTTTACCCTCTCTCCTAGAAACTGCCGCGGCGCATGAATGGGCTTGGCAAGAGCGAAGAAGGAGGAGAGGCGGTAGGTGGAGAAGGGCGAAAGAATGGGAGGAAAACCCTCTCCCTTCCCCCTATTTAATGTGGACAGGCATGCGGGGGACGCATCCTGACTGATGGGACACGTCTACCAACGAAATGACACCTGGTTAAACGGGACGTGGCCTAGGCATGTCCCACCACTACCGCAACCCAGGCATAGGAAACAAGGCACAACCACGCGCAAATGACCTTCCACCTTCTCAGACAGGGCTTAGAAGGGCCCAACAACGAGATCTCCGTCAAGGAGAGACCAATGGACTACCTGAGTCAATCGGATGGCTCAGGTGACTACCAAGAGATAGGTAAGGAGTAGAGGTATGCCCCACATGGGCCATGCCAACTCCGTCATGAATGACGGACACGGGTCCCATTCGGACATATCTGATAAGAGCTCCTCAAACCCGTCACTCGAGTCATCAAGGTAACTTTACCAAACCTTCTTACTTTATTTTCTAAAGCATGATCATTCATTCATCCTTTCTCATACATGCATTCACACATTCATTCATACAATCATTCATTCATCCCATACATCCAAAGCATTGCATATGCAATTGATGCATCACAACGCTTCGTGTTGCATCACGAAGCGGTAGTTGCCTCATTCAACATGAGCGACGACCGATCGGAGTTCGAAGGCTGGCCCGCGAAGGGCTCGAGGCCACCTCGCATCAAACAGAGCTAGGGGAGAAAATGCAGATGAGCCCCAGTGGCCGTCGCCCCATCTGCACAGAAGCATACAGGGCCATCTCGACCTTCTCGTTCGATCCTAACCTCGAGCCATGCCCACAAAATGTCCATTGAGGGGAGGCCAGCGGGCCACCTGAGTCGGTATCTGGAATGGCTCAGGCATATGCTGGGAGGCGGGTTAAGGAGCAGTGGAATGCTACATGAGGGCTATGCTGACCCCGTTACGAACAACGAACCTAGATTCCACTCGGACATACCCGTTAGAGAGCTCACCGAGCGCGTCACTCAAGCCATCGAGGCAAGCGACGTTAGCTCAACCTCTCCGGTTGCGGAAACCGCAGACGAGGTAACGCACAAAACTCGACCGAACCCCACTGAGCCCAACGGGGCTCAGGGGCTCCGGTCGCCTGGCCCCTCGGCGCGCCCAACGACCATGCTCGATGGCCACGCCTGATGCCTGGGTTGGCGACTACGTCTCGCCTGATCCCTCGGTCGCGCCCGATGCCTGGGTCCGTGACTCCATCTCGCCTGACCCCTCGGTGCGCCCGACGGCCACGCCCAACACCTAGGTTGGCGACTCCATCTCACTCGATCCCTCGGTCACGCTCGACGCCTGGGTCCACGACTCCATTTTGCCTGACCCCTCGGCGCGCCCGACGGTCATGCCCTACACCTGGGTTGGCGATTCCATCTCGCCTGATCCCTCGGCCGTGCCCGACGCCTAGGTCCGTGACTCTGTCTCGCCCAACCCCTCGGCGCGCACGACAGCCACGCTCGACGCCTAGGTTGGCGACTCTGTCTCGCTCGATCCCTCGGCAGCGCCCAATGTCTGGGTCCACGACTCCACCTCGCCTGATCCCTCGGCCACGCCCGATGACTGGGTTCGTGCTCCTAGAAACGATGGCCTAGAACCTAGAATGGGGCCATGTCAAGGGGTCGGATCTCACTCAAAAGCTATGCCCACCAAGGTGCGCTCGCGTGCACCCACTGGCAAGACGAAAAATTCCCCTGACGATTCTACCTAAATTGCCCAGGGGCTCGGGGGCTACACCCACCGGGGGCACTCGGGGGCTACACCCACCGGGTGTGCTCACGCGCACCCGCTGGCAAGTCAAAAAATCCCCCAGGCAATTCTACCTAAATCGCCCGGGGGCTCAGGGGGCTACACCCACCGGGTGAGCATGGGGCACCGGCTGGCAAGACAAAAAATCCCCCAAGCGACCCAAATCGCCCGGGGGCTCGGGGGCTCCTATCGGGTTCATAAACCTAGGGTCCCCAATGGGCCCGCTTCCGAGTAAAAAGCTCAGCCCAGCAGACGACGTTGCAACAATGCGTGCCTCCTGGGCCGGCCCGGATAACCCCACGTTAGGCCAGAAGAGCGATTAAGTCTCCGACCGGAAGGCCTGGCCAAGGAGGGGACGACGCCCGCTTCCAACTCTAACCCGCTTTTCTGACCGGGAATACGCCGAACCTCTGCTTATAGCTTCCGACTCCGACTGGCGCAGTTGGAGCCGACTAAGAACAACCGACCGGGGACACCCTCTTGGTGAGGACCCAAGAATCAGGTGGAGCAGATAAGGTGAGAGGCTCAAGTCAACCGCAATACCGAGGACCGTACCCTACACGCCTATAGGACAGTACCCCCAGGACATGTCAGAAGGGTGCTCTACAACCTTCCAGGCATGTCAGAACCCAAACAGTGTTGTGGGCACCGACATTTGCCTTACAGTGTTGTGGGCACCATCATTTGCCATGCCAGGCGAACATAGTAAAAGCATGTCACATGAGTGTGACATAAACAATATTGTGGGCGCCGACGACTAGCTTGTACCCGATAGCATGAGCAACAAGACTTTGGATCACACGTGCACACACACTCTCTCTCTTACTTGTAAGGCCATCCCCTTCACCTATAAAAGGGATGAGCTCTCTCCCAAAGGAGGACGGTTCATTGTTCCGACTCTCTCTCTGCTAGACTTTAGAACTCTAAAGCTCTAAAGCTACACAGAGCATATGTTCCAATACTTAGCGCATGTTGGAGCTCCCATCACTCTTGGCCCTTCGGTCCAGAGCCCGACCGGACCTTTAACACCCCCTTCTTATTCCCACTCGTTTGTAACCTCACAGCAAACTTCGAGCACCTGGGCTCCGGAATAAAGTAACCGACCGACTGGAACTGGACGTAGGGCACGTTGCCTGAACTAGTATAAACCCTGTATCATTGAGTGCTAGGCCACATCCGATTACAACGCACGGCAAAACTACAAATATTTACATGTTGGTCACTTTTCGCGCCGACAACTACTCTAGAAACTTTATGCGCAGCTAGCAGATCCCTCTGCCAAGTATGTCTTGCCTCTCCCATACCTAAATCATGACCGCTGACTTCCCATGGAAAAAAAATTAAAAAGCATTGGCATGAACGATATGGGGGCCTCCAGCAACCTAAATGTTTTTCCAAATTTGTCATGTCGAGTACAAGAATAATACTATTTTTTCAATGGATATTGTTAGAGTGGTACTGGGATATCTCCACCTATGATAGATTAAGATCGTCCCATTTTACCTTGTCTCTAAGAGATGCTTCTTGTCCCTAAGCTATTTACTCCTCCTATATAATAATCTATTTATGGGCAATAGACTATTCCACCAACCCTATTCCTCCGTATCACAAGTCTAGGTTCACATTCTAACCCTAATCATTGTTGGCTCCCACACTACATGCCCCAAGGCCATGAGCTCAATTTGCAGTGTGTGTGTGGGGGGGGTAAAATCACTATTTAGCTGGCACATCATATTGATCCGACCACCATCGTTGTCATCATCTCCGTCAAGCAAGAAATTAGGCCTACCTCCTCACGCTTGTCCTCATCTTGGTGGGCTACCGCCGTTGACACTAGGCCGCGGCACCATGGTGGCTGATTGTTACACCATCACGACACCGGGCCATTGTGTTGTGCTCGAGCCCATGGTCAACATCTGATCACCTGATGTGTTTTCTTCTGATCGCTGATCTGGGTTGAGTCACTCACTACGGCCTTGCATGTATCTACTACAACATCGACACCAATTAAACTACCTCTACCCCCCTTGACTATGTGGCTGGGGCGGGCATGTGATGCCGAGCGATACCTTCCCACATCGCTATTACGCGTCTGACACGGATGGTGTGCTAAAAGGACACAAGGATTATACTGATTCAGGCCGAATGTCCCTACGTCCAGTTTTGGGCTGTTCGTATTACCAGCACTGAGTTTATAGTAGGGGGTTACAAACTGACGAGAGAGGGAGGAGCTCCCAAATCTCTGTGGTTCGATTGCTCGATGATTTTACTGCTAGATCTATTGGTCGATTGATGTCCTATGGTGTGATGTGCGATGATCCGATGCCCCTTAGTGGGACACCCTGTTTTCCCTTTTATAGGCCAAGGGAAAGTAGGGGCTATAGCCAAAGGGAAGAGGGAAAACGAAAGAGAAATAAGGCTCTCGGGGATGTGATGTCTTCCTCTTCGCATGGGTCCCGCCGACCCTGTAGATCGTGGTGGCAGCAGCGTCGTACCGCGGTCCTATTGGCCGCTGCTGCATATGTGCGGGCGTCGTGCGCCGTTCTTGTCTTTCGTCCCATCCGAGCGGATGGAATGGTCAAAGGGTCCCCTGACATAAGCCATGCGGGGGACTGGTGGTACAGTGCCAGTCAACTGACGCTGGTTGACTGACGTTGAACGGTGGTCAGGCAGGGAGTTGGCAGCACAGTGCCGGCTTGTCGTTGTAGTGGGTGACGTGAGTCTCTCAGCATGGCCTGATGGGACCGCCAGTCGTATCAGGACGCACCCGAGACGTGCTCCCGGGCGTGTGCCTCCATGCTATAGTGGTTGAAGCTGTTCGGATCCCACCCTGGGGCCACTGCTTTTGTCAGGTAGCAAATCCGACCCCTAGGGAGCGGGCGAGGCGGAAATCCCGCCCTGGGGGCCGGGCGAGACGGAATCCGGCCGTCGAGGGTCGGACGAGGCGGACCCCTCTCCGTGGGGCCGGATGAGTCGGAGCCCATGCCTTGGGGTTGGACGAGGCGGACACTTCGTCCTCGGAGTCGGACGAGGCGTGGCCCGGCCCCTAGGGGTTGGAGGAGGCGGAAACCTCATCCTTGGAGTTGGACGAGGCGCGGCCCGACCCCTGGGGTCGGACGAGGCGGAAAACCTAGTCCTCGGAGCCGGACAAGGTCGCAGTTGCGTCCTTAACCATCGGATGAGCCGACGTGACGCTCATTAATCCTTTGGCTCGGATACCCGGGTATAGATATCCGACATTATATATCTGATCAAGAGGATTAAAAGAGAAAAGAAAAGGCATCAACAGCTGGGACTGGGAGCGGATGACAGTTATTGTGGATGCATGTGCTATTGTAGGTTAATGAACTTCGGAAGCTATTTAAGATCTTACAATGCCCTTTGGCATATTTTAAATTGCAATCAAAGTACTCTGCTTCTTGTTCTTTATTTGTTGTATAATTTGCTTCCACTTGCAGAATTGGTCTTCTAGTGGTCTGCTTGAGAAAATGAAGAAACTTTCTGAAAGAAGGAAGCTTGAAGATTTAACAATTGGTCCAGTCCTTACAGTAAGTGGACAATTCTGGATTGTAAATTTGTAATCACAAATTGTTCTTTGTAACTAAAATGGTGTGGTGTCATTTTGGGAACAAATAGTAGTTAAAAACTTAATCAAGCAATAAATGGAATCAGGTAATAATATTTTTTCCTGTTATTTTAATAGATGTGAGGATTCAGACATCAGGTAGTGTGTAAGAAGAGAAGGCAAAGGAAATTGTCTTTGCACAGTACAGGTTTTCATGTAGAAGGTCAAATGTGTGGAGAGAAAAAAAAAGAACATGTAGCTAGTCATCACTATTTTTGTTGTCTCAACTGTTTATATGGTTAGAACTGGATTAGTGGTATAAACATTTTTTCTGTTTCTTAGAATTAATTAATATCATGGATCTTTTCTGATCCAGGTTACTACAGAAGCCATGATAGAGCACATGCACAACCTTCTCAAAATACCAGGATCGAAGGTTCTGTTTGGTGGTGAACCGCTGGCGAATCATTCAATTCCCAAAATTTATGGTGCCATGAAGCCTACTGCTGTGTTTGTTCCTCTAGAAGAAATTCTAAAAAGTGGGAACTTCGAGCTTGTGACAAAGGAGATATTTGGTCCATTCCAGGTAATAGACCCTGGGTGTAATTATGTTACCATAATGAAAAACAGTACAATAATGCTTGATAATCCTGGCATTCCTGACACTAGTACTACCAACCTCTTCCAAAAACATATATAATTATATATTAAAGAAGGATATGTGATAACATAATATAATTGTTCTTGGATATGGATTACAAATCTGCATTCTATTTTCAGAGTTAATTCATGGCTTTATTTTGTTCTAAGCAGTAAGATGCAATGATGCATAGAACTTTAGAAAAACGAAATTAATTGATGCCTGGCATTCGTATGACACTAATATCAATCCAGTATAGCAATTATTAACCCCTTCCTGAAGCATCTACCTGAGATGGAAAATGTCCACGACTACAGAAAAAGGCATAGTTCAAAATACTATCATTTGTTTTGGACTGCAACATGTACCTGTAGTTTTTTTTCCTACATTCATTCAAAGCTGCATGCATATATTTTTAAACCAGTCTTTGTTGTCGTCCTTATCGCCCGTACTGACAGATGCTTTGTTAGGAGGTAACTAGTACATGACAAGAGGTACCATGGGGCCACTGCTTTTGTCCGGTAGCAAATCCGACCCCTAGGGAGCGGGCGAGGCGGAAATCCCGCCCTGGGGCCGGGCGAGACGGAATCCGGCCCTCGAGGGTCGGACGAGGCGGACCCCTCCCCGTGGGACCGGACGAGTCGGAGCCCATGCCTTGGGGTTGGACGACGCGGACACTTCGTCCTCGGAGTCGGACGAGGCGTGGCCCGGCCCCTAGGGGTCGGACGAGGCGGAAACCTCGTCCTCGGAGTTGGACGAGGCGTGGCCCGACCCCTGGGGGTCGGACGAGGCGGAAACCTAGTCCTCGGAGCCAGACGAGGTCGCAGTTGCATCTTTAACCATCGGATGAGCCGACATGACGCTCGTTAATCCTTTGGCTCGAATACCTGGGTACAGATATCCGACAGTAGCCCCCGAGCCCCTAGGCGATTCGGGTAGAATGGCCTAGGGGATTTTTCAATTCGCCAATTGGTGCGCGCGAGCGTAGCCGGTGGGTGTTGCCCCCGAGCCTTTGGAGGAGTGAGACACTCCTACAAAAGGCTTTTTGCATTTTGTCTCTTGAGGGCTTAACCAGAGGTGACTCATCGTTTGTCTACGACCGTGCGTTCGGTCTCTTTGCAATCGTCGTCCCTCAAGCCCCCGCGCGTTGCAGGGGTCCATTCGGGGGGTCGGGTCGTCTTGTGATCTTCGTCCCTCACGCGTCCATTCGCTAGAACGGAGGGGCTAAGCCGTGCCGTGCTTTCCTCGTTGGACGGAGCACGGTGCTCGGTGAGTTGTTAACGGGCTTGTTCGAGTGGAGCCCCGACATCTCCTTCGAGGGGGCCCGGTTCGAGATCAGCTGGTGACTGACTCTAGATTCTTGGCGGCCGGTCCATATAGTTCTCGGATCCATTCGACCGGTCCGAGGGCTCGATGCCTTTCTTCGAAGAAAAACCATGGACCTTGCATCATCCAAGACTCGAAACGAGGGTCGGGACGCCCGTGGCACTTCGCATGCCTCGGGTATTGGCCGCTAGCGGGCCCGTCCTTAACCTCTCCTCACTCTAGGGTGCCCTAGAGAGGCCGTGAACCCACTGGTGGGCCAGCCTTTGAACTCCTAGGCATTAATGGGCCGTAGGAGCGTTTTTAGCTCTGTATCCCACTTACCTGCAGCGGCCCATAGCCTTTGAAGTTGAACCATTGCCCGGCGGATCCTTCATGGGGAAGATTGGAATAGGCATGCGTTCACCTCTCGAGGCAGTGATGCGACTGATGCGGCATGAAATAATGAGGGCACGAGCCCCGAAGGAAATAGATCTGCCGAGGCATGGGGCGCGTTAATTTAGGTGGACGGTTCACCCCTCGTCTGTTTTGCCCTTACCTTATAAATGAGGTAGTTTCTCCCCAGCCTCCGTACGTGCAGCCACATCCTTACCCCTCCAATCTTTTCTGCCTTTGTTCCCCTATTTCCGCTCCATCGCCGGCAAAGTTCTCGCTCTCCAGCCCTTTGCCACCACCGGATCTTCTGCATTGCCATCCCCTTTCCTCAATTGAACCGTGGCCTCGCTCCAATGTTCTCCATGCGCGTATGGAGGGTCTAGTTAAGAAAGGCCTTCTCTGCGCAAGGACCACAGCGATGGAGTGGATCATACCTAGTGGTGAGGATGTGCTATCGCCGCACGACAGCTACGTCGTCTCCTTCATCCCCTTGCACGAGTGGGGGTTCATGACTCCTCCCCACCAATTCCTCTAAGGGCTGCTGTACTACTACGGGCTCGAGCTACAGCATATGAATCCCAATGGGATTCATCACATCTCGGCCTTCGTCGCGCTGTGCGAGGGGTATCTGGGGATCGAGCCCCACTTTGAGCTATGGAAGTATTTCTTCGCCGTCGAGCTACAGAAGAAGGAGAAGAAGAAGCCGGACCTGGTGGTGCTGATGGGGTGTGCGAGCATCCATCTTCGGGGCAGACGAGCATCAGAGTACATGTCCATCCCGCTGTTGAAGTCCAACAAGGGGTGGCATAAGCTCTGGTTCTACCTGAGGAACGACGATGCCACGCCCCTGCCGATCTTCAGCGGCCGTCTGATCGAGAAGGCGCCAAAAGTGTGGAGGTACGGGCCCATCGGGAAGGAGCAGAAGAGGCTTGGTGACCTTCTCAAGGCCCTCGTGACTCTAAAGCACCGCGGTCTTTCCAGGATTGGTGTCATCAGAGCGTACCACGTGAGGAGGCTAGCGCTGCTGATGGCGCGTGCTCTTTCTATGTACAAGATGGCGCCGGATTCCACGCCTGAAGGGACGGTGATGGTCGCTGGTGAGGCCCTCAGCATCGGTGAAATGGCACAGTGCATCAAGGAAGGGATGGTGTGCCCGGTGGATCCATCGGTGGATCTCGCCCTGGTGTACCCGGTCTTGGGTCATCCCACGATGTGGCCGAGCACGGGTTTCGTCAAACTGGTAGGCCTTCGAGTTTCTTTCCCTAGCCGACCCTCCTCTGTTCTCATATTCTAAGCACCGGGATTTGTAGCCCGACCATATTGCCCATGATTCTGACCCGCCGCTGCCAGAGGATGCGAAGCGGAGGGTGACGAACCGCGTCGCGGTCGAGGCGGCGAAGGTGAAGAAGGAGCAAGTGAAGCTCCAGAGTGGAAGGCGCTGACAAGGCTCGGAGGAGAGCAACGTCGATGAGGAGAAAGAGGAGGAGGATGAGTCTGACCCCAACATCCCATGGGGCCTGCTTGTGCTCGAGGATGAGCTGGCCGACGCAGGGCAAGTAAACTTGACCCCGATTCCGCAGCACGCCCCGGCGAAAACCAAAGGGGATGGGCCTCTAAGATCGATGGGGGAGGATGCGCCCCTGAGGTTGGCGGAGCAAGTCTTCCCTGCTCTGACCAACCCCACCGGGGGATCAAAGTGGCCAATTGCCGATGTGGTAGAGTCGGAGTCGAGCGGCCAGCCCTCGAAACAATCTCGGGTAATGGCGTCGAGGTGAGTTAACGACTTCATCGTCCTTTCATTGTGTTCTCGGATTTTGTTGTGTGACGTTGGTGCTTTCCGTAGGACTAGCCCCTGCAGACCCCTAACGTTGGTAACACAGAAGATCCTAGGGCGTCGGCCAATCCCCCAAGAGGTGGCTGGCGTGGTGCCGGGGGAACGCCATGATGGAGCCGAGTCAGACACGGCGGCACCTGAGGAAGCAGGGGAGGCGGAGGAACCGATTGTGCCGTGGGAGGCGCTCGTGGAATCATCGCCCATGCTGGTCGATCTGCCCGAGGCGGGGCAGACGGGTGGAGGAGCGACTGAGGTGTCCCCTATAGACGTGGCGATAGCTTGGGCTTCGGAGCCCGAGCTGCCAGCCTCTTCTGCCATCGGAGGGTCCACTCCCGAGGGAGCGCCGTTGACGGAGGAGGTACCGTTGGCCCCTGTCGGGCCGACACCGACTGTTGCCATGGCCAACCCCTCAGTTGGGGCTTGGCCCTCTCAGTCCCTTGTCTGGCCGGGTGATGATCCGCTCGCGTGGAGAGGAAACCGGCTCCACTGGGACAGGCGGCTAGACCCGAGCGACTCGATGTTCACCCTCGATGACTCGGTGGAGGAGAAGGACTGGACGAGCATGCGCTCGTGACTTGAGTCCATAGTCTGCTCTCTGACCGACGCATTAGGGGTGTTGAAGGATGACATCACCCCGGCTGGCCAGGTTTGTCGTGGCTTCACATTTTCTACTTTTGAGCCCTCTTTATATAATTCTAACCTGATTTTTTTGCAGTCCCTTGCGATGCGTAGCCGGGAAGAAGTCCCTATTCCTCCATCGTGAGAGGGAGATCTGGGGGCTTCCTTCTATACCAAGGAACGGGAAGCCCGTCAACACGCCGATGAGGCCGAGGACAAGCTCAAGGTTGTGGTCGCCAAGGCCGGGGAAGATGCTGTGGAGCTTGGACAACTCCGCCTGGCCCTTGACCTTGCTCGGCACACGCTCGAAAATGAGCAGAAGTCGAAGGAAGAAGCCGAGGGCCTGGCTGCCGCCTTGTCTAGGGATGTTGGTGCGCTCTAGAGGGAGAAGGCGGTCCTCGAGGAGCAAGTGAAAGGTGAGGCTCTTGTATCCTTTTTGCTTGACGTTCGCAGTTGATTTTCTGACGCTCTTTGGTGTTCGGCTTGGGCAGCCCAACAAAGGCAACTCCCTAAGGTGTGGGGTCAACTCCAGTCAGAGAGCAACGACCATGACGCCTTGCGCGCTACTGTCGGGGTGGTCTTCGACGACCTTAGGGTTGCCCCGACCGTGGAGACGAGCTCGCTCGTAGTCCGGGTTACCCAGATCCCAGATCGGGCGCGCGCGCTCGCAAGGGAGGCCCTGCATACCGTCGTCCATCGTGCGTTCACCATCGCCTGCTCCTACTACATCGACATCGACCTGCCGGTGATCAGTGAGGGCTTCACGCCTGGCTACACTGACGCTGAGCTGGACGAAATTGAGAAGGAAGCGGAGCCCCTGGTGCGGGACCTAGCGGAGAAGTTCGAAGAAGAAATCATGCCCAAGAGTGTTTAGTTAGATAGCTGAGTCTGGCGTTGGTCTTTTGGTAAAGACTTTTATTATGGCCGGAAACGTTGTTCGGCCTCTCTATATATATGTATATATATAAAGTTTGTTGGGATCCGACCCTTGTTTTA